CTTACTTAGCTACCTGTAACCTCCATGGAACAAAAAGCTTTGTGAAAGCAGGAAAGACACTTTTCCTGTTTAATGTTTTATCCTCTGTATCCATGCCTGGCCCATGACAGGCACTAAAACATTTTTAGTTGAAAGAATGGATGGAAGAAATGTTATCATCCACAGACTAACAGATCAAGTGGGTATTCTTAACTCTTAAGTAAAATATGATTTAAATAATGCAGAAGATTCTTACTCTATTCCTTGGCACCCCATATAGAAGCTTTTAAAAATATTTTTATTTTGAACGTGATGTAACTTTATCGCATGGACAATTTGAAATGAAAAATCATTCACAAGCCCAAAGGCAATTACAGTATCTGAGGTCTTCGTTCCTAAAAAGGTACAAAACTCTTGCAAAACTTACTGGAGGAAAGAACACAGGATTCTGTGCAGTTCCCAGCAGACCAATAAATTCAATGAATGTCACAAAGCCCACTGAAACAGAAAGCTGGGTTTCCTACTAAGCTGTTTTGTCTACAACTGCAACAACAACAACAACAAATCCTAACATCTATTAATTCTACCTGTGTTAACTCCACATTTTCGAAGAAAGAATGAGAGGTGAAAGCCAGAGTAAAACGCAGCCTAGACCAATGTGTAAGACGGATAAAGATGAGCAAAAAAGCCAGAGAACATCAAAGCAAGCTCTCGCTTCTACACCTGTTGTCAAAAATAGCACATGAAAGCCTAGATCCTTAAATGGAGTTTGGACATCTGGCCCCAACTACTTCTGTACTACGGGTAGATTAGCTGGTCCCCTGTTTCACAGTTCTGTTTTTGAGGATAAATAAACTATTCATGGTAGCATTCTTAAAGCTCATCAAAAGAAACCCAAAGTCATATAATTTTCATTGTCCCTGAAACCCTATTATAAGCAAGATCTCTTTTGGTAATGCTAACTAAACTGAGTTGAATCCACATCAGAACTCTTTCGAAATCTCAGTGCTGGAGATAACAATTCTGATAATCCTAGAGGGTCGAAGGTAGTTTAAACTCTATTGCAGCTATGCACTGAACTGAGAAAGAAGGCAGAAGTACAAACTCTTTAAAATCCTGTCAGACCTCCCTGAGGGGGAACTATTGACCCCAGATTCTGTCATTCTCCACTAAATCTGGCTCCCCATTGCCTAGTTCCAACTGACAGTGTCTTTTCCACATGGAGCAACAAAAGTGTTACTCATGCTGAATAGTTATGCGTGTCAATAAAGTGAAGGAAAAAGAAACACCCATAGAAAACTTTCAAAGAAACTAGCTCATGCTACTTAATTTGGGACTAATATCTACTTTCTAATTGGTCTATCTAGTCCCCTAAGAGTGAACTCATCTCTGAAAATGCTAAGTGTATGGCCAGAGAATAACCTACTGAGAGATGTGATGATGTCTAAGAGGTCAGAGTACTAGTCATTGCCTTAATTACTGAGTAGAGGGTTAGAGACTGCATAGCAAGTAAAACCTGTGAACCTATCAGGAGGACCCACTAAAGCTGACATCACAAGATCTTAGCACATAGTCATACAGCTTATGAGAAGCAAAGAAAAAGAAGGTGTAGCCAAACTAGAAGAATACAGAAAAACTGTACTGGTGCTACTATGCAAATAGTAATAGCAACAGCAATTACTACTGTCAAAATTCTAGTATATACAATCTTCCAAATACATTTTCTTTATCCAAAACAATTTTGGTTTTAGTTTACATACATCTTGATTCACTGCCATTGAGGTAAAGAAACCACAGAAAACGGAGAAAAATGGAAATTAAAGCATAAATAGAAATTACAGACATAGGTTACTACTTACAATTTATTCCAAATCCTGCCTGCTAGTACAGGAATGGCAAATAGGTTTTACCTTCTGTATCAGTTCCAATTGATTGATAGAGACTGTGCTGAGGACTGCTTAGGCCAAATGGAACTGAATAGAGAAATAGCCTACTCTGAATGAAGGACAGGGGAAATTAAGCACCAGTAATATGTATCTGCCATCTGGGGTCTAGTCCAGTTTCTCAACTGTGGGCAATTTTGCTTCCTCAGAGATACCTGACAATGTCTAAAGATATTTTTAGTTGTGCCAAATGGTATTGTTAGAGGCCAGGGATGATGCTAAACAGCCTATACCCTTCCCCAAACAAAAAAATTATCTGAGCCGGAATATCAATAATGCTGAGGGTGGGAAACCATGGTTTAGTGAAGTCTATGTTATGGTTAGTCCATGGAACCAGGTCTTTAATCAAATGACATTATCCTGAGCTACTTCTCTCAACACCAGGATGATTCTATACACCTAACTGAGATTCTAGAACTAGGGAATCAGTTTAATTAACAAAGATCACATTGGTCTGTCCCTAAATTTTATTGTGACCACAGACAAGTTATTTTAGCCCTTAAAGCCTTGGTTTTTTCATCTAAAAGGAGGCTATAAGATTAGACAATGTCTGTGTTCACAGGCCAAAACAAAAAACCTGCTAGGAAGCCCTTATATACACTACAGGAATAAAATCCCTCATCAGTAATCAAGCCCTTGCTGATATCCTCCTCTTCAACAAAAGACAATTTTTTGTCAGCTTAAAACAAGTTAACCAATCCCAGTCTCCACTAATGCAGACTTGTTAGCTGTGCCTGAAATTAAAACTGCTGTAATTTTCATATAATGCTTAAATACTTTCCATCTGAACCCTTGTCTTTAAGTTAAGATGCTTTGTCATCTCTCAAGGTACTCCTACCTTCTTGTTCATCACCAGTACACTATATGAACTCGGCTTCTTCCAACTCTCCATCTATGTTCTGTCATCTCTTGTATCATTCAACCTATTAATATTAGGACCAATGATATAGCCTCTTACAACTACATTTCTTTTTTAACCCTGTAAATCTCCTTCATCAATCAATTAATCAATTCAAATATGTCAAGGCATTCTCTGTGCCATGACATTAATATTAGGGGTGGGAAGTGAGGCTAGAGCAGTTAAGTGTTGGTACAAAAAAAATATGTAAAGACAATTTCTAGGTACAAAACATTTACAGCTAATTAACAGGATGAAATACATAAGCTACTAGAGAACAAGTTATATTAACTAGGTGGTAGCACGGAAATGTCACTAGAAGGGCAAGAAATGACAGAAGAATGAAAATGAAATGCCTGCTGTACACAGATGAAAGATGACCCAGAAACTATCATTAAAAATGTTAGGGAAAAAATCCATATAAGTCAAATGCAGAAGGATTGCTGACATCCTACCAAAGGTTTCAAAGGTTGACTCTATCTTTTAAAGGTATATTAGACAGATACGCAAAATACGGCTGCAGAACTGTAAGAACCAATTAATGCTCCTTCCAGAGAATCAAGTTACATGGAAACACTTGGAAGATAATGACTAAAAGTCATGTATGTTACATTAAATCACATCTACCAAAATACAGACCCAATAAACCCTTCTAAAAGAGGTACATTTATATAAGAACCCAAGGGGCAGCAAACCTGACCCCACTGGGGTTCATCTAGGTCTCAGACACATACACCAAGGAACTCAGTGTGTACATTTACTCTTAGAGGTCAATTTTCAATGATTAGGAATATGCCCAGAACCTAAATTATTTAATCCTTATGGCACAAACATTTATATATTTTTGTAAATTCTAATCAAATTCTTTTCATCTGTGGTGCCTCTTGTGGTAGTAAAGCAAACATGTCTACTACCTAGAGCCTACACATGCTGTATAAAGCTAATATGTTCAACCACCTAGTTGTCCAACAGCAAATGGAAGTTTCTGGCATCACCTCAGAAGACTGCATTTGGATAAGTGAATTTTCTCTATTAAAAAATAATTCATGTTTAAATATGCATGAGACTCAAATGAAGAGTAACTCTGTCTCCCCACAGCATTTTCACCTAAGAAAATCTTTAAGACTTTTTCATAATGTTCTTGTTTAAAACAAATTATAACTCCCTATGGCCTATTTCTCCAACTCCAAACTCCCTGTGCTAGCACTTCAAGGGTTCCATCAAGCTTCCTCTTTTCTTCCATCATATTAATTCTATCTGTTGTCATTAGTACCTCCCTTCCGTAAAGAAGCTCATTGGTTTAGATCGAGCATGAGGTTTAACATTCTCAACTTTTAAATCAATAGACTCTTAACGTAATCTAATACATAGTACTCTGAAAACAAATGCTAAGCAAGTCATACTATTATTCAATTCTTCACATTTCATTTGTTTCTGGCAATGGTAGCAAATAAATAATCCATAGATTTTAAAGTGAAGGAATTTGTCAAAGGTTGTTTCTGTACAGGTTTTCCATTATTTTATTTATTAAAAACCATTTTTTTTGGTAGATTCAGGGTCTCACTTTGTTGATTAGGCTGGTCTCAAACTCCTGGCTACAAGCAATCCTCCCACATCAGCCTCCCAAAGTGTTGGGATTACAGGCATAAGCCACGGTGCCCAGCCCCTCCAGTATTTTATTTGTTATTTAATTCCATATAAAAGAATATGGAAGAATGATGTCCCCTTCTTAAAATTCAAGGACAATTTTTAGCAGTATCTTTAATAGCGTTCTTTGACAATGAAAAAAAATAAAACCCTAACGCTTTTTGCAGAGAACATATCTTAGTGCATCAAATACTTAGGCATAAAGGACTCAGAGAAAGATAAGGAAAAAAAAAAAAGGAAAAACACAACTCATGTATCACACACATCCATTAATAAGGATTATAAAAATGATCAACAAGGCACTAACATGATCAGAAAAGCGTATTTCTAGAACAATCTGCAACAAAATGAGTAAAAAAATAGCAGCAGGATTTCCAGGAATATAAGTAAAGGTATATTTAAAAAAAAAAAGAAAAAAGAAAAAAAGCAACAAACATCTCGGAGTAGAACTCTTAGTAACGTCTTTTGGTGGATTCATTAGAAGACTCATGTGAGTATTGAGGATGCATTTCATACCAATGGTAAAAACATACCTAATTTTATTTTCCATATCTTCACTATCTGAATCTTCAGAGCTTCTGTACTTATCTGGATCTGGGAGCGTGCTTGGATCAAATCCATCATCATCATCATCACTCCAATCCAGAAAGGCTTCCTCTTCATCTTTGGCCTAAAAAATAATAATAACGGAAATTGTAGTTGAAGAAGTCAGTTGATAAATAATCAGGTTTTATTTCCAGACCCAAATGGATACCCCTCTAATTGACATCCTCAGATTAGAAGTTTTCTATTCTGGTGAAGGCAAGCGACTTTCAGAACCACAACCATTTGCAAAGAGAATGAAAATCCTTATCATTTCAAAAATAAAATAAAATAAGATTCAGAAAGCAAATCACTAATCAGTCCTTTAAATACAATACAGGAGAAAATTGTCTATTTTATTATTTCCATGTAATTCAACTCAATTATCAAAGAAATAAAAGCCAAGTGCTGTGGCGTGCTCCTGTCATCCCAGCTACTCAGGAGGAGGAGGCAAGGGGCTTGCTTGAGCCCAGGAGTTTGAGGCGGCAGTACACAATGATCACGCCTGTGAACAGTCACTGCACACAAGCCTGGAAAACATCTCTAAAATAAAATAAAAATAAACATAAAGAAACAGCATATAAAGTTGTTTTAGTGCTCCTGTCCACACATCTAAGTTTCAAAACTACCAAAAATATTAGGTGAAAATATAAAAGACCAGAAGCAAGAGTACAGTAACATTTGTCTGATTTTACGACCACAAAAGTATAAGTCTTAAAAAACTATCAGATCTATTAACTGGGCAGGGTAGCATGTGTCTGTAGTCCTAGCTACTCCAGGGGCTGAGGCGGGAAGATCTCATGTGCCAGATGGCTGAGGCTAGAGTGAGCCATGATTGCACCACCGCACGCCAGCCTGGGTGATGAGCGAGATCTCATCTCTTAAAAACAAAACAACAACAATCATCAGATGTGTACAAGTGTATTTATAGTGATGGGTCTTCTAAATTCAAATGCAAGTGCAAAGTCACTAAGAACAATGGGAAAAGGGGAGGAACACCAAGAAATGGGAAAAGCAATAGTGCATGGGAGGGAATGTATGGAAGTTGAGATCTTTTCAGTTTCATGCAAGCAGGTAGGTAAGGGGGCTTTTTTTGTTTTTAATTTTTGGTGGTTATTTTTGTCAAAAAACAAAATAATGCAAAATTAAATGTATTATACATTTATGTTATGAACATCACATAACAAATTTATTTCTGGTAGACTGGTTTTGTCAACTACTAGATAAACCAAAACTAGCAGTGGCACATGCATTTAACAGAAAATTTTAAGTAGGACTAAAAAAATTTCAGGGTTTCTTTCAGTTACCATCTTTACAATACTTCTTCATACCAAATGATACAAACTTCAATGATTCTTTGATTCCTTTGATTTCCAATGATTAATGCTCGTTCCCAGAAATTGAATAACAATTCAGAATAGCATAATAATACTAATTCAAAGTAATAAAAATTTACTTTCAAATGGACACAATGCTATTTTGGATTTTGTTTAATGTGTCTCTTGTAATTGACAACATCTAGGCCTTGCTATTTCCTGACCTACAAAATGATTGCAATGTTGATGCTATACCGTATTGTCTGCACTGCATTACAGTCAATTCATGACAATGACCAATAAAATGTATAATACCTATATTATGGAAAGCATGATGTGACTAATACCTTTAATTTATTAACAAACAAACAAAACCACTATCATTTACAACACAAGTCACTAAGTTAAAAATATCACCATAATGAAAACATTCTGAAGTACAATGTCTTTTTAGCAAAGTCTAAAAGTATGTACTTTCTAGCCATATACGGTAAGTAAATGGACATTCTTAGCTGCTCTGTCTCTTTGATTTCATGAATCATTTAAAGAGATAATTTACAAAAATGGGACTGTGAAAGGGAAACAGGGACGGCAAAGTCACTAAGCAAGAGGGAAGTCAAGCTAGGGACTGTGTCAGGCAAACCTGTCTCCCATTTTATTCCTAAATAAGATAGCTACAAAAGCTACATACCTCCCTTGCCATTTGCCCACAAGGATATTCCTTGTGAACAAAGGACAGACAGAACTCAGTCATCCCTCTGCTCATGTGAGACAAATGCTTCTCTGATTGCTTCCTCCGCCCTATTGTTTCACTGAGCCAGACTAAGGCGTGAATGATTCCTCTACCTCCGCCTCACATGTGATTTGTGTATTTAGTAAGAGGCTAACCAGAGACTCAAAAGAATGCAACTGTTTATCTCTTAGCTACCTATGACCTGGAAGTTCCTTCCCTGCTTCGAGTTGACCTGCCTTTCTGGACTGAACCGATGTACATCTTACAGATACTAATTGATGTCTCACGTCTCCCTAAAATGTACAAGCTGTGCCTCTACCACCTTGGCCGCATGTCCTCAGGACCTCCTGAGGCTGTGTCATGGGTGTGTCCTTTAATCTTGGCAAAATAAACTTTCTAAATTGGTTAAGATTTGTCTCAGATATTTTGGACTGACAGAACCATCCTCGTTTTTACCTCCTTTTGACTTATTTTCATGAGTCAGACAAATATTCTCTGACATATCTATTACCTCACAACTGTCCAAAAGAGCGGGACAACTCGAAGCAGGGAGGGGGGTTTCAGGTCATAGGTAGATAAGAGACAAACGATTGCATTCTTTTGAGTCTCTGATTAGCCTCTTACTAAATACACAATTTACATGTGAGGTGGAGGTAGAGGAAAAGTCGCTTGTGCCTTAGTCTGGCTCAGTGAAACAACAGGGCAGAGGAAACACTCAGAGAAGCATTTGTCTCACATGAGCAGAGGGATGACTCTGAGTTCTGTCTGTCCTTTGTCCACAGGAATATCCTGTGGGCAAATTGTGAGGAGGGCATGTAGCTTTTTTAACTTTGTAGCTATCTAATATAGGAATCAAAGAGAAGACAAGTTTGCCTGACACAGTTCCCAGTCATGTCAGTGTGTTAGGACACCATGGCTGGAAACTCACTGCTGTAAGCAAGGGAAAACCATTTAAGTATTTTAGCAGGAAACTAAATTAGTACCTTAGAAATGCAGCAATAGAAAGGGTGGTTGGAAGGTATAACATTTGAAGGAAGGATATAAGTTTTAAAACTGTAATAATTAACAAAGGAAGTAGCAGTGGAGATGAAGGTGGAGGATCGGTATGAGAGATATTAATGAAGGAGAATCAACTAGACTCTGTGGATTACAGGGGTATTACAATGGACAATGTTTGCACCTCTCTTCATTCATATGTCCATACCCTAATCCCAATGCGATGGTCATGAGGGTGCAGCCCTCATGCATGGAATTAGCACCCTCAAAAGAAGGAACTAGAGCGCTAGCTAACTCCCCTTCCACCATGTGAGGACACAGTGAGAAGCCATCTACAAATCAGTAAACAGGCCCTCATGAGATACTAAATCTACTGGCACCTTGATACTGAACTTTCCAGCCTCTAGAACTCTGAGCAATGTGTGTTGCTTAAATTACTAGTCTATGGAATTTGCTACAGCAGCCCAAAGTGACTGAGACAGGTACATAATATATTTAAGAGAATTAGTATATACAGAAGCATAGTCGTACACATCAGACCTCTGTTAAATACAGAAACAAAGAAGACAGCAGTTTAATAAACACTGAGAGGATACCTTACAAAACATGCTATGGTCTGAAGTTTGTGTCCCCCGCAAAAATTCATGTGTTGAAACCTAACCCCCAAGGCAATAGTATTAACAGGCAAAGCTTTTTGGGAGGCCGGGACAGGTGGATTGCTTGAGCTCAGAAGTTCTAGACCAGCCTGGACAACATGGTGAAACCCCATCTCTACAAAAAAATTAGCCAGGCATGGTGGCACGCTCCTATAGTTACCTGCTACTTGGGAGGCTGAGATGGGAGAACAGCTTGAGCCCAAGAGGCAAAGGCTGCAGTGAGCCAAGATAACGCCACTGCACTCCAGTGGGTGATAGGATGACACAGCTAGCTAGCCCTGTCTCAGGAGGGAAAAAAAAAAAAAAAAGTTGGAGGGCGGGGGAGCTTAGGTCCTAACAGTAGAGCCTATCTGAATGGGATTAGTGCCCTTATAAGAGGCCTGAGGAACCTTGCTCAGTCCCGCTATGAAGCAGAGAACAAGCCCTTACCAGACCCTGAATCTGTTGGCACCTTGATCTTTGACTTCCCACCTTCTAGAACTGTGAGCAGTTAATTTCTGTTGTTTATAAATTACCCCCAATCTAAGGTATTTTGCTATAACTGCACAAATGGATTAAGAGGGAGATGTCTTCATTCAACAAATCTTTATTAAGCACCTATTACCTATAACAGACACACTTTTAGGTTCTGGAGATGCTGCAGTGAAGAAAATAATGTCCCTGACCTGATAACAAAATGAGCTGTTCTCAAACAGTTACCCACATAAGTATGAAAATGAAAGCCAGGTTCTGCTATTTCTGGGGAGCAGTCAATCAAGAGTGAATCAACTCCACAAAGCCCTGCTAAATGTCTAACATTTGATACAGACAGAAAGCAGTTTTCACCTTATGGATCCCCTAACATGTGGCTGACTGATTATGCATTCTGGCTGTCAACATGCTTCTTTTTCTTCATATTTCCAGGTTGAAAGTTGCCACCACTACCCCCTCACCGACTAGTTCTCCCATCTTTCTCCACCCTTCCAGCCTGCTCAAAACAAGAATCCCCTATCATCCTCAGACACAGACACACACAGACACACACACACTCCTCAAAGCCCTGGGCAGAGAGAGGGGGAGCATTTCACCCACATGAAGAGATCAGTGTCACCTCTATAACTGGCAGTTTCCGAAACACAGTTTAAGAACCCCTGAGGAAATTATTTCACCTAAAATAGGAATGACTTTTCTTAAAACAGTTAGTTGGAAAACTCATTTACAAGTAGGGCAGGTGAAAATGTCCCAAAACAGAAATGTTACCTGACTGGTTATTTTGGTTTTGGTTCTGATAATGGCAAGAAACACAAACAAGATGTGGCAGTCTCGTACAACAAACGTACAAAGTGCTTTAACATAGATTATCTTACTTGATCTTCAAAGCCTATGAAGTAGGTCAAAAAGATTTATT